GCCTGCCTTTTTGACACAGGATCTCATGCTCAGGCATCCCAAGCCAAGAAGGTCCTTGAACTTGACTTTTCTGCCTGCACTAAAAGGTCACCCTTAAACACCAAGGAATTCAAGTTCACTCTGGGCATCAGGAATCCCTAAATGATGATGACAATGATGGTGATGATGATGGTGGTGATGGTGATGTTGTTGATGATAATGATGATGATGATGAAATGATGATAATGCTGGCGATTGTGATGATTATCGTGACGGTGATGATGGTGATAATGATGGTGATGGTGATGTAGATGATAATGATGGTGATGATGGTGATGGTGATGATGATTGTGATGGTGATGATGATGGTGATGTTGATGATAATGATGTGATTATGGTGATGGTGATGATGATGAAGGTGCTTGTTGCCAAGCCTGACAGACTCAGTGTGATAGCTGGGCCCCTCATGGTGGAAGGAGAGAACTGACTTCCTCAAGTTGTCTCCTGACCTCCACATACCTGCAGTTAGAACTGGGAACATTCAAGATCCTAGGTGTCTTACCCAGCCAGCAGGAGTTCATCATGTGGTGTGGTCACCTTCAGGTAACGTCCACTCGAGTGACCCACTAAAGCACTGCAGGGCAAAGTTGGGGGCTGAGCACAGAACCAGATCTCCCCAGAAACCACATCCTTGTACTGGCAGGTCGGCCCTCTGGCTCCAGTCGACTGGGGGTCCACGTTGCAGGTGACAACCTCTTGAATGCCATTCGTTCCTTGGAAATACCCTCTAAAATCCACGGTGGCCCGTGTTTCTCTCCAGACTCTCTGCAGGACCCCAACTGCCTCGCTGGAGTGGATCAGCCGCACTTGCACCTGGGCCCTGCCAGCCCAGAGCAGGGGGAAGGACAAGAGGTAGGTGCCATTCTCCAGGTCCTTCACCTCCCCTGGGACTCCTGCCTTCACTTCCGGGCCCAGCAGCTGTGCCCGAAACAGATCCCCACCATGAGCCTTGGGCCTACCCCAGTGATCCCTAGCCACAAGGATGGCCTCTAGGTTACTTCCCAGAATATAGGTGGCCTGGGCAGGACCCACCAGGTGGTAGGTGGAGGTTTTGGGGCTGGTTGAGGCTAAAAAGTCACTGTTGTGCCCACCAGTTGGAGGCCAGTATAGAAGGCTGGTCAGGTTGGTGAATTCTTGAGGGAGAGAATCCCAGTTGACAGACTCTGAGACATATGCAGCGGCAGGAAGAGGTTGTGGGATCCAACGGGTCACGGGTTCAGGCCAAGACATCATGAGATACAACACCTGTGGGTAAAGCAGGAGAACATGCCAGTGTGCTGGGTGCCCCATTTTACTCTTGGAAGGAGGTGCTCCACTTGGCTGAGAAGCTCCTAGGAGACCCACCTGACTATGCCATTCTGTCACTCCTAAGCCTGGCATTTGAGTCACCATCACCTTTGTGTGAAAGAAATGTCTCAAGGCTGGGATGGTAGTGTCACTAGAATTTCTGGGGAGTCCCAATATAGCCACCGCATGTTACCAAAAATATTGGAGTCCCTACTTGGATTTCTTCTTCTTCTTCTTCTTCTTCTTCTTCTTCTTCTTCTTCTTCTT